GTACCTTGGTTGTGGGCATATCCCCAGTAGGGGGTGTGCAAGAGGCAGCTGATCGATGACTCTCTCTCATCGATGTTTCTAACTCTGTATCTCTCTCCCTTCCTCTCTGTAAAAAAATCAATAAAATATATATTTAAAAAAAATAAAATAAAATAAAGACATAATCAGTATTTTAAAAATATTTTAAAATATACTTTATTGATTTTTTTACAGAAAGGGAGAGGGATAAAGAGCCAGAAACATTGATGAGAGAGAAATATTGGCCAGCTGCCTCCTGCAACCCTACCCTACCCTCCACCCCCCATCAGGGATGTGCCCCCAACCAAAGTACATGTCCTTGACCAGAATCGAACCTGGGACCTTTCAGTCCGCAGGCTGATGCTGTATCCACTGAGCCAAACCAGTCAGGGTCATAATCAGTATTTTTAAAAGTTCATTCTATATTCTTTTAATACACTAATAATTCAAATCCATTTGGGGGTTGGATAAAGACTACAGATAAGCATCATTAGAGAAAAAAAAAATCACCTGTTAATCTTACCACTCAGATATGACCATCATTTGACTGTAAACAACAATCTGCCTCAGTTATCCGTTGCTGTGTAACAAACCATCCCCAAATCTAGTGGCCTAAAACAACTTATTTTTCATGAGTCTCTGCCTGGATTGGGATCAGTTGAATGGCTCCTCTTGTTATGTAGTTAAGGATACTCTGCAGGTTACTTCAGCTGGGAGTTTAGCTGAGGCTGTAATATGCGAGATATGTCAGGAGCCTCTCTCCACATGACCTCTCATCTTCTCAGTTATCCTATCTGAGCGACTCTGCAGTACGGTGGCTGGCTTCCAAAAGGGATAAAGGGAGTTGCCAGCCTTCTTAAAGCCTGGGCTTGGGCATGCCCAGAACGTCTTCCACTGCACTTTACTAGGCAAGGCAGGCATAGGGCCAACTAAATTCAAGGGGAATAGACTCCTTTTTTTTTTTTTAATATATATTTTATTGATTTTTCAGAGAGGAAGGGAGAGGGATAGAGAGTTAGAAACATCGATGAGAGAGAATCATCGATCAGCTGCCTCTTGCACACCCACTACTGGAGATGTGCCCGAAACCAAGGTACATGACCTTGATCAGAATCGAACCCGGGACCTTTCAGTCCGCAGGCCGACACTCTATCCACTGAGCCAAACCGATTTCAGCTAGACTCCTCCTCTTAATGTGAAGAGCACTTCATGCCCTGGGATGGGAAGGCTCATTAACTATCAGGAAAACGACCACACAACCCGATTTGTTACATACAAAGACGGTATGTTGTTGACCATTTCTGGTACAAATAATTAGAAATACTGAGTTCAAAAGTAACAAATGAAAAACACAAGGTCTTTGTCGATATAAGAATCATATATTATACTTTGGTTACCTAAATAAGTTGACAATTTGCATATGCACAAGAGAAAGTGGGAGGCAGAGGGGAACATCCTATTTTAAGCCCAATATTGAAATGAAAGAAATTGAAAGAAAAAGTCAGAGCCTAGATAAAGAAAATGGTTTAAAATGTGAGAAGTATTCTGCAACCAATGCCTCTGTACTTCACCTGAGTATTCACTTGAGAGTGAGAGAGGATTAAAACACATTATTTGTCTAAACTCACTTTCTGAAAGTCAAATTGGTGGAGACCAGGGACTAGGCAAAATGAGACTGCAGCATGTTTAAGAGCAGAAGCAGCCAAGTATGCACACATCATCCCAGGGAATGACAGAATCAAACCTGGAAAAGCCAAATCTCTTGCCCAAGGATCCAAAATAGTAGTCTTTGCTCCCTTTCTACTCTAAATGGTGCAGGAGACTAAAATTTCAATTTTATTCATCAGTCATGGGAAAGCCACCTGGCTGAATGGCCTAAGGGAATAACCAGGCTCCTAGACTTGTCTGAGTCTCCCAACAATGCCTCAAGAGAACAGATAGTGCTTCTCAATTCCTCCCTCTTCCTCATTTCCATTGCCTTAGTTCAGTCCTTCATCACCTCATATTTGTGCACAACTCTTAACCAGTCTCCCTCCTACTCATTTCTACCTGCTCCAATCCATTTTTCACATAGCCTTTCGTTACCTTGCTTAACACACATTTTCTAGCTCTAAGACATGGGAAGAGGGAAAATAAGGCCAAAGACAGGTGTAGTGTTCTGGTTAGGAAAACACTTGTATACAGTCTTAGTCATCATGCAGACTTTATTCTGATTGAGGTACCTATTGAGCAATTTTTCAGAGAGACATATTTGCATATCTTTAAATGATTCCTAGGCAGCAAGGGAATCAGGAGCAAGCCTGGAGGCTAAAAGATCACTAAGTTGTAGCAACCCTGCTTGCTGATAAAGTATTCAGGTCTGAATTAAACCTGTGGCAGAAAAGAGAGTCATACCAGTTAAGTATAAATGAAATCGTACCAATGGTGACCTCCAGTAAACAGGGGGGAGATTAGGATATCACCTAAGATTCCTACTTGGGTAGATAGAATACATTTCCACCAAGATAGATGATACAGGAAGAGCAGGTCTGGGAGTAATCAGGAACCTCCAAGTTGGATGACCAGTTGTGACTAAGCAGGTTGAGAATAAAGATCTCTAGACAACACGTACTGAAAACCAGAAAGGAGAACAGCTAAAGTTGTGGACAGATTCACACAGAAAGAGAATATAGTACGAAAAGTAATAAAACCCTGTAGGAACTAAAGGTTTCAAAATTTGGAAAACCACAAATAACATTTACATCTTAGCAAACCAAAATCTGAAAGCAGCCCTAGCTCGTTTTGGCTCAGTTGATAAGAGCGTCGGCCTGCAGACCAAAGGTTCTGGGTTCAATTCCAGTCAAGGGTATGTACCTTGGTTGCAGACTCCTCCCCAGCCCAAATCCTGGTCAGGGTGCCTGCAAGAGAAATATTGATGTTTCTCTCTCACATCAATCTCTTTCCCTCTCTCTTCCACTCTCTCTAAAAATCAATAGGAAAATAACCCAGGGTGAAAATTTAAAAAAAAATCTGAAAGCAAAATATATTGCTTACTATTTACCAAAATATATAAGCAGAGACTCTCCACTAGCAGAGTGTAAAAATATGCCCCTATCTCCAAGGGAGAAGAGGTATCACATGCAAACCACACTCAGTATGATTCTCCAATCAACTAGAGAAAAACAATGGTCTATAAAATCAAATTCAATGGGAAACTTATGTAAAAACAAAACAAAAAGCAAAACCATCACTTGCAACACAAGCCCAAGGCTTAGAAAGAGGTCCAGAGCCAGAGGCTGGCAGGCTCCAGTCACAGCCAACAGCACCCCTATATGCTGATTCACCAAGAAACCCAGTTAGAATTTGGTTTGTCTTCAGAGATTGTACTAATCTGCCAACCTGAGTATTCTGGTCTACTTGATACCTGTTGCCCTTCACTACAAGTTAATAGACATTTTGTTTAATATGAGTCCATCCCAGAGAGAGGTCAATTATCAAATGACAGATTCACTTTCGGTATCTCTCAAGGCTATGAGCCAAACTGTGATAAGGAAATATTACCTAGAGGACTTCTGGTTACCAGATAAAGGGCTTATCCTAAGACACTCCAGCCTCACTGCAAGCCTCCCCACTGACATAAAGCAAGCACTTTTTCTTTTACCAAGAAATTAAGCTATGATTGCAAACAAGGACTACAATTCGTTAACATTTTTATTTTGGGTTGTAACCCATTATTACTTTAAAAAGATCCACTTCAGAAAATATCCAATGGATGTTGACTTACCATTAAAAGTCAGTCATCAATGTTTGATTTGTAACACACAATACACAATAAATTATATTTACATGCAATTACTAGACTATCACACACAAGGTAAAAAAATACAGTATTTTATGTACATTTTTTTAAGATTTACATTTTCATATACAATTTATAAAATTTAAAAATTCTCTGTACAGACTTTCATGTGTACAGAGTTTTAAGTCCCCTATTCTTATGGCTGTACCACCACACAGATATGCTCAAAACTGTAACACTACACACACTTACGTTTTCTTTACTTCACATTCAGTCTTGGCACTCATATACTAATACCATTATTTTTGAAATGTGAATGAAGTAAAATGGAATCATGCAGACTTTTTTTAATATATGAAAATGAGATAAAATGTGCTACTAGATCAACATTTACCAATTTTAGTTTCCTAGTTCTGATCAACCTTCTGCACTGCTTTAACACAGGTACATGCAAAACTATCAGATTATAGATTGTTTTAATAACATTAAAATAATACTACAGTCTGAGAATACTTAGGCATTAGGAATGCAATTACCTAATAACCATAGCCTGTTATTTCTGCTTTGGCCAAAATCTTAACTAACACATTACATACTAAAATTCACAGATATGGCAACATTATAATTTCCAAGTTTATAGAGTCTGCATCAGATAAGTGATTATTTTTTTAAAAAGAAAAGAAACAAAGAAGGTGTTTGACATTTAAGAGTATACTAGTATTCTCTGTTCTGAGAATGGGGGTTAGGGAGCGATTTAAGATAAACCATTAAAAGTTTATCCATTTTCCCTGCTAAGGAAGTACTGGCCCACTCCCAATTTGTTTAAATAAAGACACCTGAAGGCTTTATAAAAAGTTTAAGATTACCTATACTATTCATCTTCAAAATTTTTTAAAAAGTAATAAAATTGAAGGTATTGATACCTTCCCTCCTCCCCCAAGTAGCTAAAGATCAACGAGAAAAATAAAGTGCCAATGTCTAAAGTATTGTTAATTGTTCAAGAGGCACTAACCCATTTGATGGCTTAGGATTAAATATGAAAATAGGCCAGATCTGATCTGAATAATAAATAGCAAGTAGGTATATTCCAGTCTATGCAATTCCTGCCTAGATGGGGGTTGGATCAGAAAACTACCTACTCCCCCATTTATTGCTTGGAAACCTGAACACACACTTTAAATTCTGACACAGAACAGTAAGAATTCTAAGATGGAAAGCACAGTGTCTGTGCCACTTTGAAGTTGAAAAAGAAAGTGCACTCTTGATCACTGGAAGGAGAGCTACTGAGACTCTCTTCTCCACAACTCATATCTTCACAAGAGTCCTCACTAAAGAGAAAAGAAGAGACAAAGCAAAGTCCATTATTTTAAATACACTTAAATATTTTACAGACAAAATAAAACTGCTAAGCAAGTATCTCTAGTCTCAGAATTTTTATATTCAAAATTTAAACTTTACATTGAGAAAATTTTACTTATAAGGACTTCCTAAACTGAAGTCTATTATAATATCCTTGGGAAAAATACAGATTTTCTTAACAGGTTTAAACAAATTACTATTTTCCAAGCTATTATTCTTGTACCAATAACTCTATCATCAATTAACTGCACAATTTTACGTATGTTAGATCCAATAAATACAGGCTAAGGACCACGTATCTTCTATGGCATAATTTCATCATCTTTCTTGCATCAATAATTACATCACTAATACTTTCAATATCAAACCAAAAAAACAATTAAGCTATGAAATGGAACTTCTGGTCCTTTATCCTACCACGTGAAACAATCTAACTTAATAAAGACAATGGCATTTGACAAAACTGTAAAAATATCTACAGAATTTTGCTACCTTTGTGGTGGTGGTGGTCCCCCCCACCCCAGGCATTTTAACCACAACCTTTTCCCACAGACCATATTAGGAATTCATACTAACACTGAAAAGCCCAGATGCTGTTTCACTTAAAAAAATAAAAACAAAAAAACTAAACTATATTTCAAAGAGCAAAGGAGATGGGAAACAACCAGTTTTGTAAAGGGGAGCGAAACATCAGTGGAAAGACAACGTACTATTTAATCTAATACATGGAACCTAAAAACGAAAAAAGAAAAAAAAACAGAGCTCATAAATTCACAAATACAGAGAACAGATTGGTAACTGGCAGAAAGCGGGGTTTGGTGGGTAAAACTGGTCAAAAGGAACACACTTCCAGTTATAAATCTTGGGAATATAATGTACAGCATGGTGTTTTGTTTTTAGTAAAAAAAAATGGGGGCCCTGGCTGATGTGGCTCGGTTGGGCATTTTCCCATGCACCAAAAGGTTGCTGGTTCGATCCTGGGTCAGGACACATGCCCAGGTTGTGGGCTCAATTCCTGGTAGGGGGTGTACAGGAGGCAGCCCATCAATGTTCCACTCTCTTCTCTCTTCCTCTCTAAAAGTAATTAAAATATAAAAAAGGAGGGAGGGGAAGCACACATCTAAATTATTAGCTTATTTTAAATATTTTTTTTAATTGATTTTTTACAGAGAGGAAGGGAGAGAGATAGAGAGCTAGAAACGTCAATGAGAGAGAAACACAGACCAGCTGCCTCTTGCACACCCCCTACCGGGGATGTGCCCGCAACCAACATACATGCCCCTGACCGGAATTGAACCTGGGACCTTTCAGTCCACAGACCGACGCTCTACCACTGAGCCAAACCGGCTTCGGCTATTAGCTTATTTTAATAATTAACTATTTCTGGCTAATTTTCTCACCTGAAGAAAAGATGCTATTAGACAAGGGACTTTCTCTGATGCCTTATAATATTCCCGGGTCCCATTCTGAGTGTATTTTGTCTGGGAAGTCTAATCAGTTAAGGAATCTGCTTACCTTTCACTTTCATCAAAACAACCCCCCTCCGGTATTGTTGGCAGCTCAGGGACACTATAGTAGCTGTTGTGGAGATTCTGGGCTGTGCGCCTTGAAACAATCCAAACCAATTTCTTAAGATCTGGTTTGCAACATTCAGGAGAAGAATATTCAGCGAGGCATTTAGAAACTAACTCCCTCCAGTAAATGAATTCAGTGTCATTAACCTGAAAAAAATATTGTAATCAAGAGGTTAAAAGAGTGGTTCCCAAGCCTTGCTGTACCTTGGAATCACCCTGCACTCCATAAAAAAATACTGATGCCTGGCTTCCACCCCCAGTATTATTTAATCGATGTATGGTAGACCTGGGAATCAGAAATTTTTTTAAAAGCTTTCCAAGTGATACTAATGTGAAGTCAAAATTGGGTCACCACTGGTCTAGGAGATGAGCACCAAAGCTATAGATAATTTACATAGGATTCAATTCACAGAAAGTTTTACCTATTAAGAAAACACACTGACCTAAAAACACTTGTCTGTTACTAAATCAATTATCAAGTAGTATATTCATTAACAGTCTCGATGCCAAGGAAATTAACAATTTGGGTTTCTATAACAATGCATTTTTTGATTGCTAAAAATATGCATGTACACTAAGATACCAGATATATGCTAATGAAGAAGTCAGCAGTATGACAGAAGAGGAATTTCCCCAAAAGGGCGTAGTTTCTCCTCGACCAGGGAGTGCCCCAGTTTTATTTCAAGGAATCAATTTTCACTGAAGATATTTCCAGATAAATTATAAATGGTTTACATTAAAACTAATAAATTCCTGACTAAACACAAGCTAGACGTTATCTATTAAAAACAAAACACTTCACAAATACTTTTAGCACAAACAGAGGAGTTTTGTATCATCTTGGCCACCATTTCCATCTAATCCAGCTACATCTTTACCCCCCTGCCTTCTGGCTTGTACCACTCCCTTCTCATTGTACTAACCTCATCTCCTAGGTATCCAATGACCTCCTTCAATTCCCATTATAATGGGCCTCTCATCAAAATTCAATACTCTTGGCTACCTTCTTCTTGAAAACCTCTTCCCAACCTGATAGTGCTCTTACCTGTCTGGTGTACCTTCCTTCACTTGGCTCCTAATGGTTAAACTGCCAACACTGAAAGCCCAGCCAACAGAATTTCAACCAACCTCTAAGCAAAAGACTCCAACTTTCTTAAGGCTTTAACTATTATTTCATGAGAAATTTCAAATCTTGATCTTAAACTATGATTTATCTTGAGTTTTTATTCCAGACTGCTAAATACCTGCTGAAGATCTACTACCTGGAAGGTAAAAATCATACGTCTTTGAACACAAGTTAATTTCTCTCAAATTTCCTTCAATGGTACCAACATTCTGTCCATCATTTGTTCCAACTATTGATCATTTGTGGCTCCTTGCCTCATTCCATGCTTGGCTTCTAAAACCACTCAACTTAGATATTCTCATAGCTTCTTGTGACCATCACCTAGACATTCTATCTACAAGCCTACTCTCAAATAATTCCCAAACCCTTCTATAGTCCACCAGCTTCCTGACTATAATAAGCCTTTGCTGCCCAAACTATCACTGTTAAGATTCTTAGTCTACACCTTCACAGTCACAATGCCTCTCCTGGTTTACCTTACTCCTCTGCTAACAAAATCCCAAAATACTCCCTATATTCAGTATTATCTGGCACTCAGACACAAAATAACAGAACATACCACTACATATTAAGTTCCATTTATCTCCAACTAGACTGTGAAAATGACTCTCTCTTTAATTGTTTTACACCTCTTTATAACTGCCAAAAACGTAGTGGGCTGGCCTAAGGAGTTTAAAAAGAATAACGTAGCTAATGTTATTTTGGTAATGCTACTAATGGGATGAATCAGTCCTAAAGTTGTAATGGGATGCCATCAGTATATGTAGTAAGTCTATTTCCTTGTGTGTATTTTAGAACAGACATTTTATTACCAATTTGCAAGAATACTACAGAAGGGACATATGAATGCTGAAAGAAGCTAGGCTAAGGACAGGATTCCCTTCCAGCTTAATATTGACTGGATCAAAGCTGCATTTTGAGAATTTCAACACTTGAGATATTTTTTTTAAATGAGTGTGAAAGTTAAGAGAATCCCATAAAAAAGTATTATTTAATGTTTATGTCACCACAAGGGGGGGAAACAGAAAGTGAAATATTAGGAAGAAAATTTGCTTTAAAGAATAAGAACTGAATATATTTACCTTGGAATGTTTTTTAACAAGCAGAAGAATTTCCAATAATTCAATGGATTTCAACGTTTCTACTTCCAAATTGAGAAGGCACAAAGCTAATACAGATGGCTAAAAAAAAAAAAAAAAAAAAAAAAAAAAGTGTTAAGTAAAATAAACATTTTTTTTAATTCAAAATAGAAAACGTGAATCATATATAAGCAAGAAATTGACTTACTTTTGCTTTTGAAAAGGTAAGTCGGCAGTTGCAAGCTTTCAGCTGAGCTTCTAGTTTATCAAGATTCAGTATTTCTTTTCTATACAATGAAAAGAAAAAAACAATTTACTTACTAAACTTGCAAAGATTTAAACAAGTTTAAGGACTTGCCATTAAAAAGCTTGGTGGAAGTAAAACTATAAACTTCACTGCATTCTAATTCTTTACTGTTAGCAATATCAATCTAAAGTATAAAATTTTTAGTTTTAATCCCACTGACCTTTCTGAAGTCTGACAAAATACAATAGTATGGTATAAGTGCAAAAAGTTTAAGGCAGTAGTAGCTTCCAATTCATAGTGCAATTTTTCTGAAATTATTTTTTCCATCCGCTTTATGTCAGAGGCAGTACATTTGCATTGACTAATCCTGATTACATCGTGAGTGGAAGGAATATTGCATTCTTCTTCAACTATTCTAGCAGCCAGCAAAAAACAACAGACTCCAATGCAAGACAAATGTTTAGGTTTCACCTGAAAAACAAAAAACAAAAATCTTCTTCTACCAATTGTTACTTGATCTAGCAAAGCAGACACTTAAGAATATTGTAGTAATGCCCCTACTTTTAAGACAGAACGCAAACAAGCTGCATCCCTGTATTTTTCCTTACCTACAATTTTATTTAATCGTTTTCACAATTTAAACTGTCTTTACCTTTCTTTTAAAAAGGGTATTTTGGGGCATTTAAATTACTTATTTAAATGGGGATAAAAATAAGTACAAGTTCAAAAACCAAGTTTCTAATACTGCCTATACTTTGTATTTCAAACTCATGCAATTCGTGAATAGTACAGTCTCCCTCAAAATAACTTAAAGCGTTCAACTACTAAAAAATAAACAACTTCTTTGGATATAAAAATAACACATCTACCTATCTTTTAATCTTCTTACCTACTTATCTCCAAGAATCATCCCATACTTCAATGCAACTTTGCCCAAGAGAAATATTGCATCAGTTGTGCAGTGAAGCATGTGTAAAAGCTGCCATGGGCAGATGGCTGCCCTTTTCTTTTCAGTTTCCTGAAAACTGACCCCGCAGCTGACAGCATCCTACTGGCAGAAAAATCACCACATTTCCCTAACAGTTGCTGGTAATTGTGAGTATGCCTCCCTGTTTGAGCAGACTTATAGGAGAGGCAGTTGCTCACCTTTAATGGACTGATATACTTCCACCTATGGTTCAGTATTAAAAACATCTAGGCTCCACCAAAAACATGATGGGAGATGAAAACCTTACATTAAGGACTGTATACATACTGGTATAAAGAAACTACCTAAAAAATAGTAGTCTTCACTATGTTAAATCTTCAAAGGGGAAGACATGTAAGACATACAGCAAAACCTAACATAAAATACAATACACTTAATTTTGTGGTCTCTTAATCTGACACTAAAGATCATAGTTCCAATTACTAAAAGTGTTTATGGATGGTGACATAAGTACATTCATTTGCGAAATATTTATCCAACCCTCCTATGCTGGCCATTGTAGTAAGCACTGGGTATAGAAAAGGGAAGATTTATTAAAAATTATTAAATACCTTCATAAGAGCCAAGAATCTGTCCAAAATATTGACAGCCAGGACAAAAGTTTCAGTGCAAGATCCAAAAAAGTTGGTTAAACTCCGTAAGTCTTCTACTTTGGCATTTCTCAATCTTGGACACAAAGTGTTATCATTCTGCAATAAAAACCAAGAACCAAGTTTACTATTTTCTTAGAACTAAATTGATAACACACACAAAGGTCATTTTTCCCCATAACCTTCGAGAATATGGGGGAAAGGGTAATTTTTAACTAAAGCAATACACCTTTTCAAATACAAAAAGTGTGTGTGTGTGTGTGTGTGTGTGTGTGTATCATTGCTTTTTTTAAAATGTACAGCTCAAAAGAATCCGGCAATTCACTATAAAAGTGAACTGGGGCCACACTTCCAGAGGGTTATAGCAAATGTAACTCCATTCCCTGTAATGAACATCGATTGTTACTTGCTTGTTTTATGGGGTTTTTGTTGTTTATTAACTATTTGAGAACCGACAATAAGCATCTCATAGACAAAGGGTATTTCCACAAATGAACTGCTGAGTGACCAGGGAGTCTCCCACCCAGAAGCTGCAGGCTGGAGTGCCTCATTGAAAGAAAACGCTTCACTACAGTTAACATCACTCTCATTCTTGTTAAGCAACAAAAGCTTGACCCGGTATCAAATGTATCTCAGTACTCCTCCAGAAAGCCCCAAGCTGGTCTTCAGAAACTTGCCTGTCCTCAGTCTCGATTCAACTCAACAACAACAACAACAGAAAGTTATCCCTCTCCACGCCCTATCGGTAGCAGCTCAAGCAAGTCCTCCGGCCACTCACCTCCGAGGTAGCCTCGATCAAGCTGAGCCCTTTTTCCCGAGGTTGGAATCGCGGTTCCTGCTCCAGGTAGAGGTTCAGCAATCCGAAGAGCTGGACCCCTTCACGACCTGCGAAGTGCTCGGCCCCCAAATCCTTCATCTGCAGCAAAGACACGGCACACAGTGAGTGTGTCCTGGGGGAGGTGGGACTGGGAGGTAGAGGGAAAGGGCAGGAAGTACCTCCGGCCAGAGGCGCCCCAGCCGGCACACCAGGCGAGAGCGGATGAGGGGCCCGTCACGTCCCCGGGGCGATCCGCAGCCCCGCCGGGGAGGGGTGGCCGGGGCGGGGCGGGTGACGTCGGGGGCCGGGCTGGGTCGGGCTGGGGCTGGCCGGAGCCGGCTTCCCGGCTGGTTCACCACCAAGAAAATGTCCCCGGGCTGGGGGTGGTGTCCCAGGGCCCGCCCCACCAGAAGCCGGGCGGAGAGGGATCTCCCCCGGCGGGATGCCCGGGGGACAGCTCCCGCCCGGGTCCCGGCTGCCAGCTTTGCACAAAGGGTGTGTGTTGGGGTGGGGGGTGGGGGTGGAAGGAGAACAAGTCTCGCGACCGAACAAAGAACCGGAGGGAGGAGAATCCGGAGCCCCGCCCTCCCGGGGGCCCGGCCGCGGAGCCCCCGCAGCGGGACCCCAGCCCCGAGCCTTCCCCACCCGCTGGTACCCGAGTGGTGGAGACCGGAGGGGTGGGGGTGGGGGGGAGGAGGCCAAAGTCCAGCCCGCCCCTTGTCCCGACCACCCGGTCCAACCTCGGACGCCCTGGTTCCAAAACCGTGCGGGGCCCCGGCTGTCAATTCCAGAAGCACCACCCCAGCGAACCCCGGGGACAAAATGGGGGGCGGGGGGCACCCAAGAAATGTCCGAACTCTCCATGCATTCCACCAGCATCTCCCCAACCCGGTGCCCACTCCCCCGCAGCTGGAGTCGCTCCCAGGGCTGGGGGCTGGGTACCCCGCGTCCCGACCGCGAACAAAGGAGCCCGGGCAGGGGCACTCACCGTGCCGGAGACGCGCCTCCTCCACCGGCCCCGGCGTCGCCGTCCGTCCGTCCGCTCGTCCGCCCGTCAGGGACTGGGTGCGGCGGGGGCGTCCGGACCTGTCTCCCGAGGACCCGCCGCCTCAGCGGTGGCCCGGGACCCGCATCCGCCCCCTCCCCACCCCCCCGTCACCGCCGCCCTACCTACAGCCCCGGCTTCATGCTGGCCCCGCGCGCCCACCCTCCCGGGGCGAAGCGCCCACCCCGCCGCGCCCTGAGCCTCCGCGGGCGCTGCCCCACGGCCGGCCGACGCGAGGCCCGGCCAAGCCCCTTGTTTTTGTTTTGGGCTCCCGAGCCCCCCCCCCCCCCAACCCCTAGGGGCGGGGCACGTGACTCGCGCGGAGGGATCCTTCGCTCTCCACAGGGTTTGGTAAAATAGTCCCGCCTCTCAGCCACCGTCCCCAGCGGGTTTGGGGAGGGAGCCTCGGAGGCTTGCCTGGGCTTTCACGAGCCCACTCCTCCCCCTCGGTTCCTGGGACGTCGTCTTTATTCGGCGATAGAGCCGGTCGGGGAAGAAAGGGAAGCGACGGGATGGACGCGCGGAAGGAGACCGCTTCCGTTCGCTTTGCACCTTTTAAAGGTCCCTGATTTGTTTTGTTTCCTCTGTTTTGAAAAATCCGCCCAAAGTAGCCGGCTCCCTGATTGGACGCTGGCCGAATGCCGAGGCCCTGGTTCACTCCCGGATCTAGATTGGCTAGCTGATTAGCCTTGGAGGCCCCTGATTGGCTGTCGCCGCGTTCTGCTCCTCCGTCTTCCTCGGGGGCCTTAGCAACGCGGGAGTCTGCAGTGCGCATGCCCGGCGAAGGTGGGCCGGCTCTGCAGGAATGCATGGACCTGTGCCTGGGGTCTGCTCCCTCCCGCCGCCCCCGCCCGCCCCTGGGGAATGCCTCTCGGTTCTGAGCCAGAACGGCTGCAGAACCAAGGGATGCATATTCTGTGTTCCTTCTTTATTTTGTCGTGAGGGTTTTTACTTGTGTGGACTTTGAATTTTTTCCGTAATAAAAAAATAAATGTTCAGTGAGGGGACATTAAAAAGAAATTACCGGTGCGCATTGACGAGGGCACCTAAACGTCTAATCATTATAATAGTGTGCCCCCAGAGGCTGTAGTTGTGCCGTTGTTTTAATGGAGTCTCTGAGAGGTTCATGGTCACCCATAAATTACCATTTACAGTCCATTATGATTAGCGTTATTAAAAGGTGACACCTCTCCTGAGGCGGTGCAGAAAGCAAAGCAAAGGAGACTGGAGAAATTTTCACACGGAATACCTTTGGGGGAAGTGAGAGAATCCCTTCAACATTTATAGTAAAACTCTATTTTCTTCCTCTTCAGTTCTCCACTGTCATCAGCCAAACACACAAATCACAAGATAGCACGTTCTGAGTTGTAATCTAAATAATCAGAAAGCCCCTAGGCAAAGGTTTCTCTTTTCTGCTCTTCTGCATGTATTCTGTGAATTGTTTTAATACGTGTAAATTACGAGAAGTCACATAGCATAGCAGCAGCTTTCTCCTCTTTCCAGAGCGGCAAAGGAATTTTAGAAACAGATCCCTCTGCAAATTAGCTGGAACTAGACACAGACATCTGGAGCTCAGAGCAACTGCGGGGAGGAGAGCTCAGAGAGCTAATCCTCTTACTTCAGAGATTTGAGGCCTTGTTCAGGGTTTGGGGAAATAAATAAAATTACATTAAAAGACTGCTTTTAAGTGATTTACAGCTTGCATAATTTTGTTCAATACTTGTTTGATCTTTTAGACATTATTAAAACTCTTATTTGACATAAATCTCTTGCTGGAAATCTGTGCTGAAAAACATAAATGAGGGCCTGCAACCAAGATGGAAAATAGACCTAAGATTAGAATTACATAGATGAGGCCTACTTGTACAGTGTATAAAGAAGCTCAGTGGACAGAGTCCAGAGAGAGTGACAGAAAGCAGCTGGATAGAAAACATGAGAGAGTTTGTGACCAAAACATGAAGGAGATTGGGACTTTTTTCCAAGAAGGAGGGCAAAGATAGAAAAGGAACATAAGATATAAAATAAGTGATGTGAAAGAAGAAATGTAAAATTACGTGGTAGAAAATTTCTAAAATAATAGAGAACATATCAGAAAAAGGAAGAGTTGATGTCAAAGTTGTTCTTTGATTGGTTCACTACTAGTAAATGTAGTTGTACAAAATGTATACTATAATATATGTTGCATAGCTATAATAGTATTTTATATATTCTTTAACAGGAAGCCAGCCTCTGGCATGATGAGCAGTTCTCTTAAGAGTAAGACAAGAAAGTCTTGCAAATGGTGTTGAATTTCCTGCTCCTGGCAGGTCCTGTTCAGTTCAGAAAAGACTAGTTAAATTGTCCAGCGTGGAGTCCTTTATCCTCTTTTGTCCATTTATCGTTTTAAGGTAAAGCAATCATTGCCCTAGCCGGTTTGGCTCAGTGGATAGAGTGTCAGTCTGTGAACTGAAAGGTCCCAGGTTTGATTCCAGTCAAGGGCACATGCCTAGGTTGTGGGCTTGATCCCCAGTGGAGCGTGTGCAGGAGGCAGCTGATCAATGATTCTCTCTCATCATTGATGTTTCTATCTCACTCTCACTCTCCCTTCTTCTCTAAAATCAATTTTAAAATATATTTTTATTTATTGATGGATTTTTTACAGAGAGAAAGGGAGAGAGATAGAGAGCTAGAAACATCAATGAGAGAGAAACATCGACCAGCTGCCTCCTGCACACCCCCCACAGGGGATGTGCCCACAACCAATGTACATGCCCTTGACCGGAATTGAACCTGGGACCTTTCAGTCCACAGACCAACACTCTATCCACTGAGCCAAACCGGTTTCGGCTAAAAAATATTTTAAAAAAGAAAAACAATCATTAAAAAATATTGGTCCAGCCCAGCCAGTGTGGCTCAATGATCAGGAAATAAAGTACATCAAATCCGACGTAACCTGAGGACTATCTATAGTTACATCATCCTTTTTATTTCCCCCCAAAAAACAGTTATTTTTAACAATTATGATATTTTTGGGTAGCAAAAGATGCTGGTTTTCTCATTTTACTCTGCTGATTTTTATTTGTTTTTAATACTAGAGGCCTGATGCATGAAAATTCATGCACTGGAGGGGGGATCCCTCAGCCTGGTCTGCCCCTCTCACAGTCTGGGAGCTCTCAGAGGTGGATGGCAATCCAGCGATCTGGGGAAGGCGACACCCCATCACACCTTTGCTGATGCCACTGCCGGCAGTGCAAACCTCAGACGGCCCTGGTTACCTGAGCCTTGGGTAGCCTTGGGTAGCTGGGCAGCCACCATCTGAGGTTTGCCTGTGCCTCGAGCTGGACCTGGGCAGCTGAGCAGCTGCATTCCAAAGCTTGCCTGTGCCTTGGGTAGGCCTTAGGCTGCTGGATGCTGAAAAGACTTGGGGACTGCGGAGGCAGGTGTGAGGAGTGGCAGGGCCTGCCTTCAGGCCAGCCTGCCCTTGCCATTCACCTGCCAATCCAGCGGGGCTGAGGGGACTGGGCACCACCATCTTGTGACTGTGGGCACTGCCATCTTCGAGGGTGGGACAGGCAATTAGCATATTCCCTCCTTATTGGCTGTGGGTGCTGCTATCTTTGAGGGTGGGGAAGTCAATTAGAATATTCCCTCCTTATTGGCTGTAGGTGCTACCATCTTTGAGGGCAGAGCAGCAAATTAGCATATTCTCTCCTTATTGGCTATGGTACTCCCCTCTTTGTGCATGAGGGTCAAGTAGCATATCCCCTCTTTATTAGGATATTTTTAATTTTTTAAATGTTTCAATTTTTTTATTTATTTTTAATATATTTTATTGAATTTTTTTTTTTTTTTTTTTTACAGAGAGGCAAGGAGAGAAATAGAGAGCTAGAAACATTGATGAGAGAGAACCATCAACCAGCTTCCTCCTGCACACCCCCTACTGGGGATGTGCCCGCAACCAATGTACATGCCCTTGACCGGAATCGAACCTGGGACCCTTCAATCCACAAGCCGACGCTCTATCCACTGAGCCAAACCGGTTTCAGCTAAATGTTTCAATTTTTTTAAATGACAG